GTGCCTACTCTAAGCTTTGATGGCACTGATGAGTATGTCATACTAAAGGCAAAGGAAAATACGCCAAATCAAAGGCAGATTCCACAAGAAGTAGAACATGAATTTGCAGACACTGCAGAGAACACCAACAACCAAATCTGTGCCCACCATTGGGAAGGAGAAGAAGATAAAGATATAAAGCAAATCAAGTGAGAAAAGTCTATCTGGTGGCAGAACAAGACCATACTTTGGATCAAACCAGGCAGAGATTTACTTGTTTTGGAGGAGGCACTTACCTCTTGCTGTTTCTTTCACTGTGAAGAAAAAGCATTGCTCAAAAACTCTGACACAAAAGAGGAGACTGAGTATATACCTATTCTCTCCAGATATCATATCCGCAATGTATTTAATGGCCAGTGATATGCCTACATTTAGTAGATACATATTTTTAGCAGTAAAGATTAAACTCTCATTATCAGCCATCTAAGTGGTTGGTAGAAAAGAATGTGAAGCAATGCAGAAAACTGAGCTGGACTCATATACACGTTTAACATTGCTGTGGAACAACACTGATAAAGGCTGCTTGTCACCTCTTTTGCTCAGCGAAAAGTGGAAAGCAAAATCAGTGTTGGAACTGGTGTCAGAGTTACTAGGGACACACACAGACAAATAGAGACAGGCAGAACAAAACCAATTAATGTGAGCACGAGCACTGACCACACCAAATGTGTCAGTATTTCCCTCTGGTTGGAAATAAACAGATATGAAAGGCAATAATATTAGCAGGACATTAGCAGAGGCTCCCCCTCCCTAGCAGACACAAGGAACAGCTGTATCCCCTCAAGATGTTATTTCACCTCAAATATCTCGGACAGGTTAAACCACAGCAAATTTAGATAGCTGAGCCCCACAACATGATGATAGGCTCAAATTTGGTAGGTATGAATTCGAGCAGTGAAGTATAAGTTCAGATGCCCATATCCAGAACTAATCCACTTATCTCTACCTGACCACAGTGATGCTGCTACTCGGCGGGACTCAATAAATTACAGGCACTTCAGGGATTATTTGAGCATCACCATACGTATTTGAAGTACAGTTTTATGATATGTTCAGGCTGATGAGCTGTTCTTATTTCTGACTGTACCTTTCCAAAGTCCTCTCTTTGATCAAACCGAGCCTGTTTACTGTATTACACAGAAATTCATATTGCACTGACACACTTGGTTATAATCTGGGCATAGAAAGAAACCAGTCTTTGCTGGGCTCCCAAACCCAAACCACTTGCTCAGGAAAAGTGGTGAGGTTGCCCCAGACTTTGCTCCCCATCTTAACACAGTCCTTTTGAGCTGTGAGGGACTGCTGCACCCTCAGCCCACAGTAGCCCTGTGCTTGAGGCTGTGCCTGCCCCTGCCAACACAGCTGGTTCTGCTGCAGCTGCATCTCGTTCTGATGGGGAGGAGGAGAAGAGATAGCGAGAAATAATCTCAGTGATTATATGAGACAGAGAATACATTCCCTTAAATAACCTCCTCCGCCTGCTGAAGTTATCAGAGCATGCCTTTCTAATGCGGGCTAATGCCAGGTTAAGTTCAGTAGTTCACAGCTGTGTATTTTGTTAGAGATTTGTACCTAATTGAACAGCAAGCTGGGGGACTGCAGCTACATGTAATATCTGCTAGGAAAACACATCCATCTCAAATGGCATTTTTCAAAGAGACACGTACAATCTTGTTAAAATCTGAGCCCTAATGGCCATTTGCTCCACCATCCACCAGCAGCAGGTATGGCAGAAAGGGAACAGCTGCTTAGTTGCTTCTGTGATCTATTTTGTCTAGATGTTTGCATGTTTGGGAGAGTGGTTTGGCCCTTTGCTGTTCTCAGATGAATCACTCTGCTAATGGACTAGCAAGTGCATGGATAACATTATCAGTGATGCAGACCATGGTTCCTATATTGCCTTAATACGCCTCTAAACCAATCTGGTAAATTACTTCCATTATAGGATTTAGATAGTATCCCATTACAGATCAAGCTTTTGGTTAAACGTCATTTCTTTGAAAGACGTATTTGGTGTCAAGGTCCACTTGATAGTTTCAGAAGAGAATGAACAGAGTCCAATATTTCCTTTATTACGACTCCAAGGAGCACTGCAGGGGTGGTGCTGGGAAAGCTGGGAGAATGGGTAAGAAGAGCTCCTATCATCAACAGAGGAGAAACAGCAGATCGCTTTGCTCTGAGCTCTATCCCCTGCGTACAGTAAGCATGCACATCTCCTGGTCACACACTGAAAATTCTTCTAAGCTGTACTGAGTAGCTCTAAAGCTAAAGAGACTATATACTGTTAAATTATTATACTAGGAAAATGCATCCTGTATATGAGCTGCTGTTACAGAAACTGCCTTTTCTGTCCATTTCCAGTGGTTTAGTCTTGGCACTTCAGTGAAACTACAGAGCCCATCCCAGCTGTCAAAGTGCAGCCAGTCTCTGATGCATATATTACTACATAGTTCTGTTTTTTGCTCTGAAAGCAGATCTAAATAAAATAATTTTCCACTTGCATTTGAAAAAAAAACACCCTAGAAAGAACAAGTCATGAAAATTATTCTATTTGTTTCAGAAAATATAAATGTTCCTTCTCTTTCTCTTTTCTTAAACAAAATGAAAACATTTGTGTCCAGTCTGTGCTTCATTCCAGCATTTCTATTAAATATTTTTACTCTGTACTTAATAAAAAGAGACATTTCATTTTAGCAAAGTCCTGGCTTATTAAAATTAAAGTGATGTGGAATATTAGTGGGACTTGCCAGTATTAAATAACTTTATATGATAATTTATTCCATATTTAGTGCTCAGTGCTTGCAGTGTTTAATGCAGCTAAAGCATATGGTGCTGTTTTATTCAAATGTTAAACTGTGTGATCATTAAAAATATATGGAAATGTAAACATTGTGTCAGAGTTCAGTGTCTCAGAAAGAGCTGTTAATCCTGGCAAACAGTTTCATTATAACAAGAAGCTCAATCAATTAATGATTTTGTTTCTTTATGTATTTACTTGTCACGATGTATCCATTTAGGGTAATTAATTTTATTATATTTCAATTTTCTATATATTTACATTTCCACGTTCTTGTAAAGGAACGTTTCACTTTTATTTTGATTTGATAAGAAACAAAGACAGGCAAAATCTGTTTAACTGCTAAGCTGGGAGCTCAGATCAATCTCCATTTCACTTGAGGATTGAAAGCAAAAAGCTTCTGGCTCTACAGCAGCTTTGTCAGTCTTGGCAATTTGCATTATGTTACCCATGATAGTATGCACAAGGATCCATTGCCACAAATGCAATTTAAGAAAATACTTTCAGTTCTTTTTCTCCTTCTCAGTATTTTCAGGCAACTGGAATGACTTCATTGCTGTAGAAAGATTGCTTTTTGCCTGTATTTAACTGAATAATAATATTTTTAAAAATCCTGAGGGGTAATAAATAAGTTGAGTTTCTAAGATAAACTTTTCAGGCCTTTTCATGCAAAGGCAGAAAGTAAGAGGGATTTTGATGGATGGTGATGGACACACTGCTTTGGATACAGACTTTGCCAAGCAGAGAGAGCCAGGGTGGATGTTCTCAGAGCACTCTGCACAGTGCCCTGTGTGCTCATTATTGCCTGCACCACTGCTAGGCACAGCCTGGCCACTGAGCCTCTGCAAGCTTAGTGGTGGTTTTAGAATAATGTCATAATTTTTCAGTTATGGTTTTGCAGACAGCTGTAGGCAGTTGGGGCTGGTTGCTATACCAGTGTACAGGGCTGGGTATTTTTAACTATTAGGCAAAGAGGTCTCCATCTCTCCTGAGCTCAGGGTTTCACCCCCAGAGCCTGACGATTCAGAACATGACGGACACAAGTCCTACATGATGCTCAGTATGTCTGACTCCTCACTTTTAACATTCCACGCCCTACTACTACTTCATTTTGATGTCTCACACTTTAATGCTTGTAGGTATCTCCCTCTAAATCTGACTTCCATTTTCTTACTACCTGCTTGTCCACACAGCTCCTGCAACTCAGCCTGACTGCTAGCAAGAAAGGCAGAATGCTCCAAATACCACTGCTCCTCAGACAGAGTGACTGCGGAAAATGGACGAGCCTTATCCATTGTCTTTGGGCAGAAGGACACCACTGGTGGTACAGTGAGGGTTTTTCTCCAAGACACAGGGTGAACCATGTACCAATTTGCAACTTAGCCAGTGCTTGCAAAGCTGGCTGGCATTTCAATGTAACCATAGAAGCTCTCCACCCACAGACAAGAGCCATATTCCTGAAAAGAAAAGCCCATGCACAGATGGTGAAATTTGAATGGCTTTTTCAATGAGGAACAGAGATTCATTTTTGATACAAACAGAAAACTTGATATTGAGGTGGCTGAGTGAAAGCCTAAAACTGAACATGAGGTACAAACAACTTACAACAGTATTAATTTCCCTTTGTGGGAGAGGTGCAGATATCCAACTAACCTTCTAGCTTTAAAGTCTCTGACACTTGGGATGTGATGCCCTGTTTTGTTGTCAGTTATTTCTCCTCAACCCTATGCAAATTCAGCATGAAAATGTCTTTCTTATAGCGATTTAATATCCCCCATCCATTACCCGTGCCTCCATGATTGATGTTTATTGCATATCTGTTTAGTAGTGCCGGCAGCTGGGAGATCTGGTATCTATGGCCGATGTTCCTATCTTTGTTGAGTTACTTCATCTCTTCTTCACTTAATCACAGTCATCATCTTCAATTGAGCAGCTCATAGTGGCACTTACTACACCTGTTACACCCCGTACAACAAAGCTTGAATTATTTTCAGGGGACACTGCAATATGTGAATTAATAGTTACCATGTCTAACCTAAAGAATGTGGCAAATACAGTCACAAGAGTTGAATGTCACAGACCAGGTTTTTTTTTTCCACCCAGTCAGCAGTGTAGATAAGCAAAACATTTGCTGCCTATACTGAAAAAAATGTGCCTCACCCACCTTGCTGGAGAAACGGAGGTGATTCATTTTCCATGGCACTGCATTCTCATGGGTCTGATCCAAGGTCTGGAACTGATGACTGGGGGTTTTCCTAGGGTTCTCCAAGCTCAGTGATTGCTGAAGCTGTTGGAAAACAAGTAACAAAGTTGACTTGGAGAAAGTCACAAATTCTGTGTTATTCCACAAATGTATGCTAGGTAAGTACACCAGACCATAATTTTCTTTCTTGATACCTTCACAAGGTATCTAGCGGTGCTCCTGAGAAAAATCAGGATGCTGACTGAATACAGGTAAAGGAGCTAATTAAAAAACATGAAAGCCCCCTATGAAGTTTATTTTGTGTAGAATTAAACTTCAGCCAGAACTCTATTACAAGGCTGATAATGGTGAAATAGAATTTCAGCCATTAGCACGAAAATTCCTAAGAAGAACTACAGGAAATCTTACAAGTTTTAGAGATGTTATGGATAGTGGCATCCTAACATTTGAAACAGAAATCAAACGTTGGGAATTCACGCATCTCTTGGCATCACTGTATTTATTTGAGATGAGCTGCAGGGAAAAAGTAGTAGTAGAAAGACTCCAGGTCTTCTAAATCCTCGTGTCTTTTGGCTGCTGATCCTTTTCTATCCCTGATCACATGTAACAAAATGATCAGATGCACAGACTTCACAACTGATCTTAAGATCACAAAGACCATCTATTATTTGGGTTGAGCTCCAACCAGGTGCTGATAGCTGGCGATTCATAACTCCCTACCAAAAGGAAGTCTCTGTGATGAGCTGTGATGGCGAGGAAATGCTCTCACTTCCCCCAGGCATTTAGCAGTCCTGAAGCAAATGTACTCTGTAGTCCTTCATTTGCCTTACAGTCCTCAGTCCTTCCAGTACAGTTTTCAGAGGCCTTGGTATGCAGAAGGTGAATATACATCACTGAAAGGAACCTAATTTCACAGTCACTTTCTTGCCTTCGTAATGCTAAATTCTGAGGCAATTTTGGCCTGTTGTAATACTGTAGCAAGCATAACTTAATTATTTGGCCAATTATAGTATCAGGGAATGTAACAACCATTACTTGAATGGGTGTTGAATCAGCACATTTTCCACTCCACAGTAACCAACAGGAAAGAGAGAGGAAGATGTATTAACTGAGAAAAATCTAATAAACATAATGCTACCTACAGATATGTGCTATTTAATCCCATGAAAGGATTTTATGCTTCTGTTCACATAGTAATACCAGATACCATCTTACTGAAGAAAACGATGACATCAATATATGAGTCCAACATCGGGAAAACATTTCCTTTTAAAGTCTGTATACAAACATCTTCCTTGGTGATTCTCAAATGCTGGGGGAAATAATATCTGGGTACTGACACACTTAAGGCTAGATCCAAGATGAAAATGCTGCCACTGACTTCAGTCTGAGCTGCCCAGACAATTTTGGAAGCTTCCACAGGACACAGCACATCATCTGTCTTTGTAGAGCTCCATCAGCAGGGCTTAGAGCTGGAGAGGGATGTTAGCAGCCACTGCCACACAGAGAATGAGGATCTCGTTTCATGAGTTTAATTAAAATGTATCTGCCACACTTGTTATGCTGCTGTGGACAAGTCCAAGAGTTGATAACATGCCAAAAAAATTTCAGATGTTTCAATCCAGAAAAGCAAGAATAATGTATTAGAAACTGTGCTGGAAAACAAGAGGAGCGTAAAACAACAGACATGGATTTATTTTCCTCCATACCCCTCATTTTTTTTTTTCTGTGTAGGGCAGGCAAGGAGATAGTTAAGTTTGTAGAAAATAAGCTAATTTTAAAATAAACAATAAATAAATTTATCAGAATCACTGAGCCTTCAGCTCAAGTGGCGAATGTTTGTACTGAATCTGAAGTTATACAGTGCTCCACAAGTGTGAAAAGCCCTTACATTATTATTAGTTGTTTCAGCTACATGTGATATTGATTATGTTAATAACCAGGACAACATTTTGAAGAGGAATTGTTAGATTTTCTTACAGTGATTAGTACATTGATTGTGATTGGCTATGCAATTACAGAGTTATTAAGGCAGCATTTGATTGTTTAACATGGCATTTCATAAGTCAATGACAATTTAAGACATCATTTGGCCTAAGTTTGAACATTCACACTTGCAAAGTAAACATTTTCTAAATCTAAAATTGTATTATTAAAGCTCATTTACAAAATAGAATCCTCCATAGAAAATTTCTTCACGGCTGTTATTCAAACTAAAGGCCACAACACACATTCAAGTCTAAACGCTCTTGAAAACAATAGACACATTTATTTTAACCTCCTCTAACATGTGAATACATATTTAAACTGAATTTATTATTACTGTTCCTTCATTGCAGGAAAAGATACCCTAAGAGTCACGTATTATGTAGACCTTATCCAGAGCCTACTGAATGAAATGGAAAGGGTCATTTTCTTCAGGGACTTAATACAAATCCTAAATTGGACATTTTGAAAAGTTGTATTTCACAGCATCTTAGGTTAGATTTTCATTTTAACTTCAGTGATTCAAAGTAAGAGCTGACTAGAGTGTTAATCAGATTTTTACTGCAGCTGGAAGTATCTCCCTGTACAAGATAACAATAGACATATCAGGCCATAAATTCTGATCTTTTTGTGAACTATACCTGGAATACACATTTGTTTTTCTCATGAAAAAATGGCTGACACAAGTAAGATTTCAAGATATATCAAAATCAAGAATTTATTTATATTTAGCACTGATAAACCAGTGGAGCCCTGTTTTTAGTGTTTATAAAAGCCATGAAAAATAAAGATCAGCTGTCACATTGCGAACACCACCTATTTCACATACCTGCAGTTAGCTCTGTGGGGGCAGGTAAAACCACATTTTTGTAGGTTTTACACATCGCCACATCAGGCCTCCCAAGAAGTACAAGGAATCATGATAAATCAATCTCATCTAACTATATTTTCCAAAAGAATAACTGTAAGGCACTGTGGCACATTGTGTCTCCTCATTAAAAAACTAACTATGCTGAATGTGTCTCACACATTTTCAGAATGTACTGTTACATTCTACTTCCAGTTGCTCATTCCTCTTGGCCTCATTTAGTATAAAGACAACTGCTTTCATAGCCCAGATTCACACCTCAGAGTTTTAACAACTGGTGTATGGGCCCCAACAGACAAATCTGAGAGAATAGGAAAATTTCTCTTCTCAACCTGATTACATCTCCTTCCTTGAACAGCACAGGGTCTCAGGAAGCACATGGTTATCAAACCCAACACTGCTTAGACACTGCAATCTGTGCCAGAAGCCCTCTAGAAAGTCATGTACAATATTCATGACTGATGGTGATAAAACTAAACAGTATTTTTAACTCCACAAGTCCAGTAACTCAGACTGCAGACACCCACACACATTCCTCTGATCTTTTGGAAATGCCTCTCGTGGCTACTTGTCCACAGAAAATGAGAGCACCGCTCCAACTCAATGCTCTTGAACAAATGTAAGGTCTGTTCTGTGTATGGGGAAAAGAGATTGCTCCAGCTCTCCACCAAGGCTAACCAAAGGAGCAAGGACATCAGCTGCAAATAGTACAAGCACTAAGGACTGTGAGTGAGGAAAAGATGGCCAGCATCAGGCCCTGGATCGTACCTAGAGAAGGACAATGAAGCTGGTAAGGGGTCTGTAGCACAAGTCTTATGGGGAGTGGCTGAGGGAGCTGGGCTTGTTCCATCTAGATGAGGCTCAGGGGGGACCTCATCACTCTCTACAACTACCTGAAAGGAGCTTGTGGTGAGGTGCGTGTGGTTGGCCTCTTCTCCCATGTAGCTAGTGATAGGACAAGAGGGAATGGCCTCAAGTAGCGCCAGGGGATCTGCTCCATAATTCTCCCAGGCACAGTGGTGAAGCTTACCAGCCTGTAGTTCCCCAGGTCTTCCTTTTTCCCTTTCTTAAAAATGGGGAGTGATGTTGCCCTTTTTCCAGACACAAAGGACTTTGCCTGACAGTCACAATTTTTCAAATATGTTGGAGAGCAACTTGGCAACTCCATCAGCCAGTTCCTTCAGGACCTTGGGATGCATGTTGTTCAGCCTCACATTTAGGTTTACAAAGCAGGCACCAGGGATATTAAGTAGCAAAGGAAACAAATATGGGACTATTTTCCCGCTGACTCATGATGTCCTCAGGTCTCCTCTGGTCTCAATAAAATCACAGAAAAGCATGCCCTGCAGGAATGCCAGGGAGCACACTGGGGAACACTTCTGCTCTATGACCACTTTACCAACCAGCCAGGAGATGGCACAAAGTAAGAGAGCACATCAGCTCAAGCAGCAAAATTTGTGTTTTCTGAGCGCATGGCAGAGTCAACTGTTGCACGCTGATAAAATGTGCAGCAGTGAGCTTTCTAGAGTAAACATAACCTCACTCACACTGAAGTAATCAGTCTCACAGCCATCCTCTGCTGGAGGGAAAAGCCATCACTGCCAAGTGGGAAAACATGACAAAAGTCAGACAAAATATGTGAGGATTTACTAATAAAGTGATCGAGGAATTAGATAAATCATAAGCATGGTAATCCATTTGTTCAGTATGGCTGAAGCCCTGCTAATTGTTTGGTACTGTATCTCACAAAAATGTATACACTCATATCAAGAATTTCCCTCCCAGACCTCTTTTGGCTAAACAGAGTTTTTCAAAAGCATTTTCTGCTGCTGCACTAAGCTCTGCTTCCATCAAAACTGCTGGAACACTATGTGAGTAAAGCTGGGCCAGAATGCCACCCACAAAGTTTTATTTACTCAATGCAGGGTGCTGACGCTGATACCTCTGCAGCTACATGAAATCACAACTCCTGTGGCGTGTCCCTGGAGCAGCAAACTCAGGATTTCCCAGCAATGCAGAGCCTCATACAGGAGTCTGTTCCAACATGGCACGAATCTCTTTGTATGGATGACTTCTCATCAAATCCTACAGATAAATGTTTAGCTAAGAGTATCAATATTATACTAAAGCATTGGGGAACCAAAGTAATCAGAGAAATCAAGCACTAGGGGGAAAAAAAAAAAAAAGAAGAACAACAGCAACAAAAGAACAATAAAGCCTGGACATACTT